TGTGCAATTAAAAATGGGACTTTCAGATACTTTCTAAACTTAGAGTTTATGGAACTGGCTCCATAAAGGTCTGAAATGTTTATGTCTTTTGGTTTTTCAAGGAAGGAATTAAACACATGATCCATTGGAAAACGCTCAGTCATATGTTCCATACGTTTGTGGTTTTGCCTGGAGCTGACCTCAAGCCCTGGGAGCATGTTGTCTTTGTGGGTGTGCTGTCCTTTCTTTACTTTGTTAGCAAACAGCCTTCTAAACAAACTGTCAACCTGCTGCTCATATAAGGAAATGACTGAAAGACGTGTGTTGACCTCTGGTTGAGCAGCCCTGCTACTCTCCACGACACTGCTTGCAACAATTTTCCAACATGAAGCCCGTCAGCGGACCTTCGGGTCCCATGTGGGCCAATCAGGGCGGTTATGTAAGTGTGGGGTGTTTGAAAATGGCGGTGGCCGGCCACTAGGATATGGCTTGTTGCTGATAATCGGTGGCGCGGCGTGGTGCGGCGTGCGGCTGACAGATGCCTGCTCCAGCTGGTACAGGGGGGGTTTATCGCCCGGTTGGAACGCGGGTCCTCACACCCCTCCACTGTGCTGGCCACCGTCGCAGTGTTTAATGAGTCACGAATTGCCTGTTTGTCTTCTGCTCCCTGCTGTTTCTGCACTCCCTCTTCCAGAACAATCCCTGAAACACATGCTGCTGCGGTCCGCAGAGCAGCCAGACAGGCAGGCTCAGCCAAACTGTTGTAAAGAACAAAGTTGTCATGTTTTTTCATTTCTTCCTATTTTTGTCTTTTTTTCTTCTTGGTCGCTCATCTAACAGAGGGATGGGTTGTTCTGTAATAAAGCTGCCTTTTCAGATGCTGCGCCTGACCTCGCCAATATGGCTACCCTGAGAAACCAGTGCCCATTTGAAGCCCCTGACAAACACATAAATGGCTCTATAATTGGGCCGCTTTGTTGTGCGAGGCGCTGGCTCGTCTGAAAGTGCCGTTCAACACTTTGTGGTAAATGGAATTGCATTATGACAACACATGGCAGTTGCTAAAGGAGCAGAAACTGGCACAGTGATAAGACACAAGCAGGTGGTGTTGACACAGAAATGGTTTGTTTTAAGTCACTAGAAAACCACAATTTGAAAAAAGAAAGTTTTCTGCAACAACAACAATGACGCAGATCACAAATCCGTCTTCAGGCCAGCGACAGAACTGTGTGATTCAGCGAGAGAGTGTGGATCTGCCTCCCAGCCCAAGTGAACACACAGAGATGCTTGGATGACCATCAAATGGACCATGCGCACACACAGACACACACACAGAAACACATTTACACACTCACAGAAGGGGTGTTTGTAGCCTGTGTTACAGGATGTTGTGCAAGCTGCCCAGAGCTTTGCCTTAATCTCACCTGTTTAATCTGCAAGGTTGGGCAACAGTGTCTGTAACAGGAACAGGTGGCTCATGCAACTGCTGCTGGATAAACTGAGAAGAGCATTCTGTCAATTAAAGCCCCAATCCAATTTCTAATTCATGAATTAGAAATTTAGACTTTCTTTGTTTTTTTAGGAGGAAACTTTGATGGGAAAGAAACTTCAAACGTCTTAGTAAGACAGAAGGACATTTTTGAAGGAAGTTTGTTTAGTTGACGTTGTCACTTGTTAAAACTGTGGTTCAAAAATAGCAACTGTGGCCACTATAAAGATGAATGGTTCGACCACATGGCTGAGTTCACATGTGTGTGATGTGCCCGTGCCAGGTTAAAGAAAGTGGTTAGTTGTATTCAAAGAAAGACGCTGAGTCTGTGAAGAGCATAACATAACTAACATTATCTTTCAATAACTTTTTACCAGAATCTCACATAACAGTCTTTTGTGTAGCTACTTTTAACTGGGGCAGTTTTGTTACCACGCCAGGGAACTGGTCTTGCTAGATTGTGGCTGTGTTGTTGTGAAAATACTGGTGAGACCTTGTGGCATGGTACATCTCTCCTGCAGGATAAGTGATAAGAAAGAGAAGTGGTTTTATTGACCTGGGGACCTCATGGATCCTGAGGAACACAGTCATTAATAATGATTAAAAGTTGGGTCCAGGAATAGGTTTTACACCTAGGTATGAAGAAGTGAAGGATCCTGGGATACTGAGTTCTGGACATGTGGTCAGGCTTTGGATACGCATGTAGGCCCAACTTTTGTTCACCAATAGTAGGTCCCAACACATCCATTGTGGACATCCAAACTGAAACCTTATCCAAACCCTTAGCCATGACCAGTTCATACCTAACTCTGAACTTAAACTAACCAGAGTTCACATTTTAACTCTAACCATGACCAGGACCTCAGAAATGACTTGCTGCTTCATTAGAACTGGGCTTTCTTCCCCATCAGGTCTACTGGTCATTGCTATCTCAGTGTTTATACTGGAAAAGGTCCAAATAACATAATACCATAACACAAATATGTGTACACACACACACACACACACACAAACACACAGGGTGGCTCTGGGTGTCTGATGATCTGAAGAAGTGAGAAGTATCTTTGGAATCCTGGCAGTGTCCGGATTCGGCCCAGTGCCGTGAAATCTGCGTTCCGCGGGGGCTGCTCTTTGTGGCCGGCCCTGGGTTCTCAGAGTGGCATTCTTCTCATTGTACAGGTCACAGAGACAGAGGCGGCTGGCCTGAAAAGATCCTTGGTGGGGGGAAACAATGGCTTAAGGGAGCTCATAAATGTCTCCTGTTCAGCTTCGGCCCATTGACTCTTTGCCTCCCTGCCAAGCAGGGTCCTGTCAGACCAGCCCCTCGCTCTAACAGCTTAATTAGCAGAAAGAAAAACAATGTCCAAACCTGTTTTGACTTAAATAAAAACAAGGACAGACTCTGAAGCTGTTCACTCCGCCTCTCATTGTCCCGGTGCAGCCTGAGATTACAGAGCTCTGACTTTTCTGTTCAGCTCACTACAAATAAAACGACATTCCAACACTGTTTCACGAGGAGCATGACGACGGCTTATCGACCAGTTAGGGGAGTTCTCAGCTCTGATTCTGATTTATTACTCTGCTCTTCTGATAATTTTAACATCTTCCTTTCACACTGTGTGTTGGCTAGTTCAAATGTGTTTTCTTTGAATTTACAACTCTTGACAACCAGAGATACAGAACGATGGATCCTCCATATTCCTCGATGTAGTGACTCCTTTATCAAAAGCTGCCCGACTGAAGGCTTTGCAAACTCAATATAATTTTTTCATTTTTCATGATAATGGTGATGATGATAATGCAGTTTGCATTGTGATGCTAATGTTGGTTCCTGGCGAACCACACTGGTTGTTTTGAACCTTCTTTTCGCCTTCGACATCTGACTGACTGATGGGTCGTGTCCGTCTGACTGAAAGACTATGTCTCTTTTTCAGTTTGTCCTCCTACTGACATGTTTCTGTCAATCACTTGGATTGAGTTGATTTTTTTGTCTTCAGCATCTGCATACCTCACTTCTCTGTACCTGAATATGTGCTTGATGCTTGTCCCATCTCATTCATGCACCGTATCCTTGTCCTTTGGTAAACGTGGCCCTCTGGCCCCTCTTCATACCACCACATATTTTATCTGCTCGTCCCATTAATCTCCTTGTCTGTATGTGCCCCATCTTTCCATATCCCCGCTGTCATCCTTTGTTTCGTCCCTTTTATCTGCGGTTCACATCAAACACTGGCACCAGATTGATTCTCATGTGAACAAGGCTGCAGTAGGGGGCCAGGGACCTCTTCCCCGGGCTTTGAAGCTCCTTCTCATCCCGTTCACAGCTTCTTTGGGTCCCCTGCCCCATCTCACACACCCACAAGGAGGTGAATATATTTTCATCTGCTTTCATTTGTTTATTCATCACCTTAACGAAAACTAGCTAAACTAAAACCAAAGTTACAGGATGGAATAGCACAAACCCTGGTGGAAGGATACGGTATCAATCAGGGAAGAAGCGATTAAGTTTCGGTGTAAGTCCCAATCAAGAGACTGATCCAGGAATTTCTTTAACAGTTAAATTTGTCATGTCACGGCTTTCCATGGCCTCTGATAACCATGGGTTTTGTGTAGCTTGATTGAATTTGAGGGGACTGTTAAACCTTGGTGGAGAATGCATGTACTGAGTATCATCCCAGCGTACACGACTGTGATTCAGGTGGAGGAGCGGGTCTTCCACTAATTGTAAGGTTGGAGGTTTTCCCACTTTTGTTATGACCATGTGCACATTAAAGGGCCAGTGTTTACTGTGTGTGACCAATCGCAGATATAGACAAATTTGACTGACAGCTGAGCCGCATATTTCAAAAATGAGAATTAGAAAAATATGAGTCCTGACTGAGAGCCACACAGTGACAGCTGCTAAATGCTGGAAGGACAGCTAATGAAAAGTCTCTAATTCTGTGAATGCACCAGTCAATGTTTTTATAGTAAAACTGTTGTATCATTCGAGCTAAAGTAGATCTGACTATAATTTTCTTTGTGGTTCCATTACATTAATGTGTTATTTACATGAATTGTCAGTGTGTGTATGCCATTTTTAGCCCTATTCTTTCAGGTTGAAGCAAATTAAAGATAAACATAAAAATATAGTCCAAAGGGGGAAGTAAGCTGATTCTCATATCTTTAAAAATCAACAGGTAGAACACTTTTGTTCAGTTTCTATTGTTTATTGACATCAGCATACAAGATGCACAGTGACGGTTGTAAATAAGTCAGACACAATATAAAAATCAGTAGAATACCAAAAAGGTGATTTATCCATATGGGTTGATCTCTTATCTTGAATTCAACCTACTTCGGAGCAGGTTAGTTGTTCAGTATTAGTTACCATGGTGATTTACTGCTAAAAGAAGTGAGAGATGATCTTTCTGACTCGCACCTGCTAAGAACTCCCCCTGACAGGTAAGTCAGGTAATTCAGGTATTTTACATGTCCTAATGTTCAAGCACCTGACCACTCAAAAAGTACCTGAAGTACCAGTTGAGCTGTGAAAACACTGAAACCAGGACTTGTATAATCATGCAAGATTACCTTGAGGCAACAAAAAAAAGAAAAAAATACTGTAACTGGAGGGTCTCTGAGGATTTCTGAGTGTCTTTGCTCAGAGTTGGGTTTTCTTACAGCACAGAAGAGCTTTGACGATCTCTTTCATACAGTCATGGATGAAAAAGGTGGGTTCTGAGAGATTTGCCTCTGAAATGAACGGTACCTGGTTCACAAAATGTTTTTGTTTTCATTATGTGTAGGATCACCTTCTTTTATATGTGTCCATTCACTCATCTTGCTGCAGAAACATCCTTAACATTTACTAATGCACGTTTAAGTTGAGGCAGAAGGTTTCTACAAGGGGATATAACATTGTAAAACTTATTTTTTTATGTTTGTCTAGGTTATTATCTCTTAATGTGAAAAATATGTTTGTGAATCTAATATTTGTGTAAGGGTGATAGCATGTGCAGTAACTGTGCAGTGGCTGAGTTGTGTTTTTAACTCCCTCTATCAAGAGCTAATACTTTTTGCTATGACTTGTGTCAAATGATTTTTTTTCTCAAAGATGGTTTCTGTCATTTTAGGTAGTTGTGTCCACATTAAATATATGTTCAARTGTTTGTTTAAGATCAGTTTTGCTTAAGTTCGTTATTTGGTGGAATGAAAAYGAGATGAAAAATCACGATTGAGATACAGAATCCGTGCAGCTGCCATCTCATAGCAGTGAAAGTAAGARGTGTCAGCAGGTTATAACTTTGTTTGACTCATAGTTACAGGTAGCTTTGATATCTTTGATGAAGCAGGTAAAACCAAGTGACTTCACGAAACATGCTTCATGAATCTCTTTCCTTTGTGTTATTTAAGGATCTGTGGATTCTCTGGACTTAGTGAGCCCTTACCTGTTCACATACAAAAAGAGGAACTTTCTGGTCAAGGACATATTCCGACCCAAGGACTTTGACACGCTCCAGCATTTTGAGCTCCGTCCAACTGATGTCCTCCTCATCACGTACCCCAAGTCAGGTAATAAATCCAACCTACGACCAGGAARTGAACAAACGTCTGCTAAAGATTCAAAATCCTATGAATGCTTAGTAACAGAAACTTCTCTCAGGTAGATGCTACCTGGGCTCATTTGGATCAATCTGTATGTTCCTACATAWTTGTCTYATTTGACTCTGCAGGYWCAGTGTGGATGCAACAGATCATTGTCCAGATCATGGATCAGGCACACCCTGAACAGGCAGAGGATGCCAGCAACAGGACCCGAGTTCCTTGGCTGGAGGAAAKATCTGYGSATKACCCTAACCGAGAAAGGCCAGATCCTCGGATCTTTGGCACACATCTCCCCCCTGACATGTTGCCCCTCGCAGTGAAAGAACAGCAAATCAAGGTAATATGCACTTTGCCGTATTAATGTACTGAGTAAATTAATATACTCTTGGCCTTCATGTGTGAATGAATTCAGAAAGAAAAGTCCATGTCTGTTGTGCTGTGAAAACAACATTGAAGCCAAGATTGTATTTWCATWTATATTTTTGTTATTAGCTTATTTATGTTTGGAGGAACCCGAAGGATATCCTGGTGTCCCTGTATCACTTTGCTCAGAGTTGGGTTTTACTGGAAACTCCAAAGAGCTTTGAGGATTTTTTCCAGCAGTTCCTGGATGGGAAAGGTAGATTCACAGCAAATAGTTATCTATCTACTAATTTCAAAATGTCTGTCTGTAAGTGGAAAGTGTTGAGGAATTTTTGACCACCCTCACAAATTACTGTACATTCCACATTATGTAATGAATATAGTGTATATTACTTCTGTAAACCATTAAGATAATAGTGCTTGTCTAGTTCCACAGATACTCCCTTCTCTCTCTAGGCTGTATCCAAGCCATAGACTGTATATAAAGAGATCCAAGCTCAGGTTATAGATAAAGGACCAACCAACAGTACATTGTAGTGTCTACGCTTTGGGACTTTCATATCTAACTCAGATGCCCCAGACAGAGCCACCATTGCCAAGACGCAGGGACAGCGTGATTTAGGTATGCAGGCTTTAGGCTTAACTTTCCAATGGGATGCGAATACAGAGAGTGACAGCAGTTCTTGCCATTCATGGATGTGCTGTTAGAATGGGTGACTCAAGTAGAGGAAAATATATGGGGATGCTGTGGCAGACATCTTCAGATTTGGGGATGACATTGCACATGTTACTCTGTTAGCGTTTGTATATTGTTGCGTCTTCTGGTCTCCTTGATAAATCAAGTCTATATTAAAATACCCTGCATAAGACATCAGCTACTGCCTGAGTTCTTCTTTCACTAGCTTCCAGAAATCGTCCATAACAGAAAGCATAGCTTGCAAACCATTGATCTTATCGGCTTTGTTCGATATTGATAAAAAATTGGATAAACAGGTGACCAGCACTCTCTGACACAGAGGAGACACTGGTGCTGATCTTCATTATGAAAACCAAATCAATAGAATCACTTCCTACTTAAAAATGTGTCTTCAAGGTTAAAGCACAGTTTTTATTTTGGTGTTCTAATGCTATCTATTGAGCTGAATTTTAAGGCTTTTATTTTGAAAAGGTGTGAATTGGCATAGACTATATGAACAGCTCCACACACAACACCCAGCAAACAATAAAAAGTAACAGTATTTAGTAGAGCGACATGATCACAATGGGCACTGCGCTAGTATTTTGGTTATTAGCATGTTTTTTGCAATCACAAGTGCCTTATCTTCCTTTATTCAGGTTTACTTGTACACTCGGTGGGAAAAGAAGAAGCTAAATTCAGTCAGCTTGCTGCAGAAACATTTTAAAAATGTGTTAATGCTAGTTTAAGTTAAGAACGAAATTCCACCAAGAAAAGAAACCAGTATTCATGTAGAAAATCTGTATTAATGAATCTTAATTTACAAAGTCGGTAGATTATTTATGAAACAGCCTAGAATAGCAGCAAGATTCACTSACTTCTACAGTTTTTTTCTCAGCTCTGACACATGTYTTTCTTCAACAGTTTACATGGGGTCATGGTTTGATCATSTTAATGAGTATTCCGCAGCACGGAACCAACTGAACATCCATTTTGTGCAGTATGAGAACMTGTTGAAGGTTGGTGACATTCTTTYATCTATTGCAACAACTAATAGTCMACAAAGCAGCATTTAATAAGTTTATAAAAGTCCTAACCATGCACGTGTTTGTCAGAAAGATTTTGACAGATTTACAGCTCTTGAATGTGTCCTGCAGATTTTGGATTCAGGTCATTCTGCGTTATAAATGCAGCAAAATAATGACATGAAATTATTCTCAAACATCTGCAACTGACAGGACCTCAGAGGGGAAGTTGTGAAGCTTTGTGCTTTCCTTGAACAAGACTTGACAGACGAAGCAATCGATCGTGTTGTGGAGATGTCCACCTTCAAAAACATGAAGACCAACCCCAATGCAAACTATAAGGACTTTCTCGAAAGAGAACGCTACAAGAAGGAAACCATGCGCAAAGGTTTGTTTCCAAAGTGATATTGCATTGGTTAAACACTTTATTTACATTATATACACAGAGAAAACATGTAKTCTTATTGTTTTCTGTGTTTATGAACAGGGGTGGCAGGTGACTGGAAGAATCACTTCACAGTGGCCCAGAATCAGCGTTTTGACAAAGTCTTCAAAGAAAAGATGAAGAACTTTCCTCTGACCTGCATCTGGGAGATGAGTCAGTAGCTGCTCTCCAATTCAGCTCAGCTCTTTACTGCAGAGATTGATTTTCTCCCTCAGTGATCCACACTGCAACTGCTTTTCACCAGCGTCAGAACTCATCTCTTTTTGCTGCTCAGGTTAAAAGTTTGGCTCATCTGTTTTCATCCTTCCGGGTTTTTTATCTGCTTCTGAGATTTTTGCTGCCGCCTCAATAAAAGATGTGAAGATGAAAAGTTTGTATTGTGATGCTAATGCTAGTTCCTGGCGWCAYCACCATTTGGTCTTTGTGACCARAAATGATGCGTTTGTTCATTTGCATATAGAGTGAGATCCAATCACAAGTGGTCACTGTAGCTACATTCAGGACGCATTCTACTATCAGGTGTGAGAAAAAGACGAACCTAAAGCTGATAACTTGTGATCGGATCTCTCTGGACAGATGTTGACACCAGGGGCCTATACTASGAATAGAGTCAACATACCCAGGATATCTTTTATTTACCTGAATTRTCAGTGTGTGTATGCCATTTTTAGCCCTATTCTTTCAGGTTGAAGCAAATTAAAGATAAACATAAAAATATAGTCCAAAGAGGGAAGTAAGCTTATTCTCATATCTTTAAAAATTAACAGGTAGAACACTTTTGTTCAGTTTCTATTGTTTATTGACATCAGCATACAAGATGCACAGTGACGGTTGTAAACAAGTCAGACACTATATAAAAATCAGTAGAATACCAAAAAGGTGATTCATCCATATGGGTTGATCTCTTATCTTGAATTCAACCTACTTCGGAGAAGGTTTGTTGTTCAGTATTAGTTACCATGGTGATTWACTGCGATAAGAAGTGAACGAGCTTTGTGGTACAGGCCCAGAGGAAGAGAGAGAGAGAGATGATCTTTCTGAGCCACGCCTGCTCAGAACTCCCCCTGACAGGTTAGTCAGGTAAGTCAGGTCTTTTACATGTTCAAGCACCTGACAACTGAAAAAGWATCTGAAGTACCAGTTGAGCTGTGAAAAAACTGAAACCAGGACTTGTATAATCATGCAAGATTACCTTGAGGCAACGAACATATACAGTAACTGGAGGAACTNAAGAAACCAGTATTCATGTAGAAAATCTGTATTAATGAATCTTAATTTACAAAGTCGGTAGATTATTTATGAAACAGCCTAGAATAGCAGCAAGATTCACTSACTTCTACAGTTTTTTTCTCAGCTCTGACACATGTYTTTCTTCAACAGTTTACATGGGGTCATGGTTTGATCATSTTAATGAGTATTCCGCAGCACGGAACCAACTGAACATCCATTTTGTGCAGTATGAGAACMTGTTGAAGGTTGGTGACATTCTTTYATCTATTGCAACAACTAATAGTCMACAAAGCAGCATTTAATAAGTTTATAAAAGTCCTAACCATGCACGTGTTTGTCAGAAAGATTTTGACAGATTTACAGCTCTTGAATGTGTCCTGCAGATTTTGGATTCAGGTCATTCTGCGTTATAAATGCAGCAAAATAATGACATGAAATTATTCTCAAACATCTGCAACTGACAGGACCTCAGAGGGGAAGTTGTGAAGCTTTGTGCTTTACTTGGACAAGACTTGACAGACGAAGCAATCGATCGTGTTGTGGAGATGTCCACCTTCAAAAACATGAAGACCAACCCCAATGCAAACTATATGGAATTAATTGAAAGAGAACGCTACAAGAAGGAAACCATGCGCAAAGGTTTGTTTCCAAAGTGTTGTTGCATTGGTTAAACACTTTATTTACATTATATACACAGAGAAAACATGTAGTCTTATTGTTTTCTGTGTTTATGAACAGGGGTGGCAGGTGACTGGAAGAATCACTTCACAGTGGCCCAGAATCAGCGTTTTGACAAAGTCTTCAAAGAAAAGATGAAGAACTTTCCTCTGACCTGCATCTGGGAGATGAGTCAGTAGCTGCTCTCCAATTCAGCTCAGCTCTTTACTGCAGAGATTGATTTTCTCCCTCAGTGATCCACACTGCAACTGCTTTTCACCAGCACCAGCACTTCCACTTCTGCTGTCACAGAAAAGTTCAAGTTTATCTTTCAAAATCGTTCCGCGAACATAACCATTATATACACATGGTCTTTGTGGTGATTTTATTCCTCTTGTCTAGCCAGGGCTTTGATGAGCTGTCAATAAATCCACCGGAAACAAGAGTTGTTGTGACTTGTTTCTTCAATTGCACGGTCAACCATGAAGTTCAGCTCTGGGACAGTCTTGTGCCTCACTGGGCCAGTATTGTCAATTTCTTGACTGCGTGAAGACATACAGCCCACATAACTTATTTTTTTAACAGCAAGGCCCTTTGAGAGCGTCCGTGGCTGAACCATATTTAACCTTTCTGTGTCAGACCACCCGCCAGTGGCTGGGCCCCTAGCGGCCCATTCACCACCTCAGTTGCACCGACAAGCTAGCTGAATATGATATAGAGCCGGGCCACAGACAAACCACTCGATTTATTCCCCACGAAACCCAAACATCTTTTGAAGATGCGTTGTGCACTGCTTGACAAAGGCTCTGTTGGCCACAATGTCACAGCAGCAGTATAAATAACCTTCAGTTTGAGATGGTGGGTTTTATGTAGAGAACATGCACTCACTGCTCTTCCCATGATAAAAAAAAGCACTTTTCCCAGGTTATGTCACACACAGGGGGTCTGGCTGAGTGAACCGGGGGAAGCAGAAGCTCTATCAATGATTTTATATAATATCTGATGGTTAAAATGGGAGAGTCAGAGTCACACAATAAGCATTTAGAGAAAGACTTGGAGAAGATATATTAACAAGAGAGAACCTACAGGACTCATGGTGGAGTAAGTAAAATCACAGGAATGTTATAATATCAAAGTCTTTATTATTGCAGTGCTGCATCGCACCTACAGATGAAGAAGTCAAGTCAGATTTATTTATATAGCACATTAAAAACAACAGGAGCTGAACTGAAGTGCCTTTTAATCACGATAAAGGAAAAACAAGTTGCAAACAGTGCTAGAGAAAAATGCTGGAAAAGGTACAGAAAATAAAATAAACCAAAATAATGACATTATTATTATTATTATTATTATTATTATTCTTTATACAGCACCTTTGAAAACACAGCTACAAAATTAAAAAAGAAAAATTCAAACGCAAACAAAAAGACACAATTTGAAGCTCACACAGTATTAGAGCACAGATACAGAAATAAAAACATAAAAAGTAAAAACAAGATTAAATAAAACATGATAACTCATTGAAATGAGCTGTGAGATCAACAATTGAAATTCCAAAACCTTTTGGGTAAAGCTGGCTCTCTATGACACAGGGAAGCTTTTAAAACAAATAATTGCATTTTAATCTAAAGAGATGAAGATGACAGAATTTACTTTTAATTTTTTTCTCTCATATCTATTGACCGTCAGTACTGAGAGCTTCAGAACATGTTCAGCTCCATGAGGCTCCAGCAAAAACACACAGGCTAAAGTTCTGCTGCATTACAACATCATGCAAAATGTCAAATGCATGTAAGTGCACCCTCCTCATGGATTACTTTGCAGAGTGAAAATCTGTGAGCGGTGCTAAACCTTTAAACACATTAATCTATTACTAACTGGATTTCATGGTCCCACCGGTGCCTTCAACAACACACCCCCAGCAGTGCAGCCACCTGTGCAGCTTTAATGCAGGACTGTTTTTTAAGCTGCTGACCTCACAGTGAAACACTCTGGTTCTGCCACCATTAGCATCACAGCTAAGAAGGCACAAAAGTTAAATATTGCAACTTTGCATTGGTGGAGCCAGAGCACCATGTGGCAGTCAGCTCTTTCGACAGATGTGTTCAGTTAAGTTGGTCGGTGTATGCAGATTCAAACGTTGGTAAACCCACTGCCAGAGGAGCTTGCCTTTCTGGTTTTCCCTCTGTTGTCACAAATGCCCCAGAAACTGAGGCGCTCTCTCTCCTTGCCGTCTTGCCAGATTTGCACGTTCACCATGTCATGTTTAAATAACTGCTGATAAAAACATGCAGCTTTGACCCGGAGTGAATGCTGATTGAATCAAATTGCAGACAAAAGCTGTGTGTTTAGTTTTGGTGTTAGTGGGTAATTTGAGTGGAAAAGAGATTTAATTTGCTGCTGATTAATGCATCAAGCTGCAGAGGAAGAAGCTCTTGTTAAAAATAATCAGCTCATTGTTGATTTTACCCTTTTTTGGTGCAACAATAAGAAAAAATAGAATATATTGGCAGACCTCTCCTTTAAATTTTTGCACAGAGAAAAGAAGTGTGTCATCAGTGATCCACGGCTCTTGTGGTCCAATTTTCCAGTTTGGTCTTAATTCATCAGTCGCCTCTGCCTCTGTCTGTTTTCACACTCTGAATCCTTCTTCTTCACTGTGTTGCCTTGTCATGACCTTTGACCCTCAGCGCTCTGAGATGAGCAGGGGTCTGCTGGACAATCCCAGTGGGTTAATAATTACTCTGAGTTCACAGTGAAGGAAGCCTGACCCCAAGCACGGCACAGCAAGGCGTGAGCGGCCCACGGTACGGCTGATAAATGAACGACAGATACCGCAGCTTCCCCCCTGTTTGTGTGTGTTTAAATAGAAGAGCATGGAGAGCGGGCAACATACCTTCAAAGTGTTCCCGTCAGTGGGAATGTCGTTTGAAGAGAAGGCACTTTGTGAAGTACTTTAAAGGTATTACCTCTGTGCAGCTATACGTGTTCTATCTGTGTCCCAAAGAACAAGACCAACATACTGGTCTTCAGAGGTAAAATGCTACTTGATTAATCACCAGAGTGCATGTAAAGCCTCTTTTTTCACCGGTCACAAAACCCACTAACAACCACTAACTTGCTCTATTCTGCAATTTGAATGGATACAATTGGCTTTCACGCAAACGATTCTGCAGTAGACAGGTTTTTACAGGCTATGGCTCAGAAGGAAGGCGCTTCTTATTTTTCTTTATTTTGGAAGTCTAGATGCTGACGCTGCATTTTTTCTAATGCAATGTGTTTGACGTGCATTGAACATCCTGGTGTTGCCATGGAAATAGCCATGAACGTTTGGGTAATTGCATCTTGGGAACAACATGCAACTGAGATTGTTTTTCTGTGTATTGTACAAAATGAAACACTGCAATGGCAAGACAGCGAACACCAATCATGACGCCCCAGAATAAAAACACAAAAAACTTCTCTACAGGGAATGGAAGGTTACATGTGTTTAAATGTGTAAGAGATATGAGGTAAAGTTGTGGCGTGTTTAAAAGACACTCTTAATGACCACATGATAATTGTTAAACAGAATTGTGTGAAGAATATTGCTTCAAAGAGGTTTTTATGCAGCATTCATTAGAAATGAATGATTTCATAATTTTATTTACTTATTGTGTCGAGAAAATTCAGCTGCTTAAAAAACATCCATTCTGAGGAAAAGCTGCAGCACTGGCAGAGGTCAAGCTCATCTAATAGTTCAGACTGTGTAAACATATTTAAACTTTCAATTCCAGCAGGAGTGGTGGATGCAGCTCAATCTGTCCAAGTTTAATAGGGTGGCTTTGTAATGTTTCTGTTTGCAAATGCATCAGAAATAAAAAATTAACTATCACAACTGTGAATAATGAATGAACGGATGTTCTGCTTCCTTCTCATCTTTAGTAGCAGCAGCTACCAGAATTACTGAGGTGGAATGTTTCCTCGTGTGTTACTCAGTGCATAAGACAACACTCACCATTTCATTTCTTTTTATTTCCTCTCGTGCATGACAATGTGATCTTTGAGAAAAATATTATGATTTTCAAACAGGAACAGATTTATCCTAAGTGCTTTTTCAATCATGGCTCAGGGAAAACAAGTTTAGATATAAAGAAAAGACAGAAAATTAAGGCTAAAAGCAAGATTAAAAAGGTTTAAATTAAATAAAAGATAAGCGATAGTGGGGCAAGACCTGTTGTGTAATATGAGACTGTAACAATGGGGGAATGTGGCTCTGGATTTTTTCTGACAGAACTGACCCTGGTGAAATTGGGCCGATGATTTAAATTTCCTTTGGTGCTTTGTGTTATAAGGCAGAGACGATACAGCAGAGACATAAAGAGATAAAGTACAACAGAGACAAGCGAGAAAGTCCAGCAGAGAGAAAATGACAGAGCGATGCAGAAGCAGCGAGACAGAGGCCGTGGCTTTTCTCAGAGATGAACATTAATAATACGAGCCGCCACAATAGAAGCACTGAGATCAGAGAGATCACCTCCATTGTGCCGCCATCTCCTACTGACACCAAACGCTCTGGTGAAGGAAGAATAAGAAGAATAGAGGAGCATAACCTGGCCGCTCACCATGCCCCTCTTTTTAAAATACATAATGGCCTATGGTCCTCTGCTATGGCTTTTAAGTGCATGTTGTGTTGAGACGTGATGTGCAGAGACGCAGAGGTAAATGTGTCAGCTGGAAGTCTGTGCTGACTTATGGTGGGATTCCGCTCGAGTTCTTGTGCTGTTGCAGAGTTGAAACACATCGTCAAGAATTCCCTGCAGCTCCAGGGAGTTTATTTTAACTGGTGGATTGACTTTTGTTGACACCTCCATCAAGAAATTCATGTTTGGCATTTTCCCCCTTTTTTACCACAAATTTTTGTGAGAAAATTTTAAAAAAATTCGAGGGATCTTTCTCTGTGAGTAGCATTTCAATGTGTTGTGTTGTGGATAATTAAAATGCATGTTCAACCTAACTGTAAATGACAATACAAACAATAAGACCTAGAATGGAACTCAGTAGAGCACATACCTCCGCCGAGGTATCGAACATCCCCTGAAATTCAGTGAAACTGCTCCAAATTTTCACACTCTCATATTAATTAGTTCCATAAATTTTGTTTTAATCAAGTTCCATGAATTATTCCCTGTAAAAACTGTGAAAATGAAGAAAGTGATTAAAAAAAAATGTGCTTCCTGATCCAGATCTGCACCACAATTGAACGATTCTTTCTTGAACAATGTTCCACCCTTCCAGTGTTGTGGTGATCCAGCCAGTCGTTTTGTTTAGTCTTCAGTTCAATTTCAATTCCATTTTATTTGTGTACCGCCAAATCACAACATACATTATCTCAAGGCACTTTACATAGAAGGCGAAGACCTTAATCTTATTCACAAAGA